GGGAACCTTATCTTTTGCAGTTTTCTGTGAGTTTAACTGGTGAATTAGCAAAAAGCAATCTTTTTCCCATTTATTTTCATTTCCTTTAAAAACTAAAACCTAAAAATTGTTGGTGAAATGAACACTGAAATTCAAGTACAAAAATTTGTACCTCTCTGGGAGATTATCATTTGACTGGAGATGATTTACTGTAAAGGCAGAGATAGCTGGCAAACCTTATTCATGTTCCCTGCAAAGGACTGCAGCATCACATAAGACATCATTTATTTTATTTCTACTTTTTAAAGAGCTAAATGTCACATTGCAGTGATAGTCATGGGAAGAGCTCATGGTATTTTTCCTCTCCCTCCCAGTGGTGTTGCTCACGATTTGGTGAGGGGGAGAAGCACCCTGCAGTGGATCTCCACATGCAGCTGGAGCAAAAGACAGTGGCTGTCTTTTTTGTCCACCAAGGAGCAGCAGTGCCAGGGTGGCACAGCCCAATCACCTAGAGGAGTCACTGGCCCTGAGGGGATGCTGGGTGCGCACTTGGTGCATGCTCTGCAGCTACTTCCCCACGCTCAGAGCTGCCACAGGGCTATGCATGAGAAGTTTGGTTTCAGGCACAGGCTGCAGCTGCCTTGACAGTACCCGTGGTTGGAATGATGCTATTGGCTTTGAGAAGGAAACCTGCCACCTTCTCTTCAAGCAACTAAAAGGAAAGTTAAAGGACTGGGACTTGCCATCCAGATTCAGTCTTAGGCATTAGCATGGGTTTCTTGTACCACCCTTGGTAGGACATTTATCCCCTCTGCTCCTGCTGCCATGCTTTTAAGATGTAAGGTAGTGTCATACTGCCAGAGAAGTTGTGGAGATGTGTTCCCTCCTTTTTCTGAGGTTGTCGGATAACGCTGCAAAAATCCTAGATAGAAATAAATCACTTTCCCATTTTAAGCACAAATACGGAGCTGTGTTATTGAAAATAAATACCACATGAACTGGTTCCTCTGTTGCTTATGTATAATCTGATAGTAGCACACCACCTCTGCCAGGAGGCAACATATTTTAATTAAGTCAGAGGAGGTATTGTTGTTCCCATTGAGAGAAATGACAAAATTCCCAGGATCAGGAAATTAATCCAGATGCTTTGGATCGGATTGACAGAGTCTAAGGAAGTTTAAAGGAAAGCCCCAGGTACACCCAGCCAGGGGAACAAGGGAAAATGCCACCGACATCTCAGGCATTGCTGCGTGCATATGACAGATCTGATGGGTCTCCATCAGTGACTCGAAGTAGGCACTTCTGGAGGTTTCTGAGTCTATCTGATGGAAAACTGCTCCCTTCCTATGTGCCACCAGCATGTAAGGGATGATTACATATTGAAAGGATGATATGGAAAGGAGGAAGAGATTATTTTCCCCCTGTAATTGTTGATAAGAGGCCAAGGCGTGATGCATTTGAAGCTGAAGTCCAAGGGAAATTATGAGATGGGCAATACTTCACTGCTCCTCCTGGTCAGAGGAAAAACACTGTATACAGAAGAAAGGACAAACATCTGTCAACCACCTAATTACCACTTTTGGATTATTTTTTTTTTTTAATTAAAAGACTATTTTCACCCCTCTCTCCAGAAGTAAAATCAAGAAAATTGTTAAAAAACGAATCAAGGCAAAAGACCTTGTATTTTTCTTCTCCTTACTTCATTCTCTGTTTCTTCCCATTTTTCCTGCCACCTTCCCTTCAACCTTCCCTCCCTTCTTCCTTCCACAGTGGAAAATGGAAAAAAAAGAAGGAAATCATAGTTGAAAACTTGTACTGGATGAAATTTGAAGAGAGAGAGAAAGAGAGAGAGAGAGAGGCAAACAAGTTGTTAAAGAGTTGCTTGCTTGCTATGCTAACCCCACCACACATCCATCCTTGCAGCCAGAGAGGTTACGTACATTTCTGTGTGCACCAAACAAGCCCCTTCTCGTGCTCTTCTGGCAAGTTTATTTTTCCCAAAGAGAAATGTGTTATTTTTAAGCCTCTTCCCTTAAGTCCTCATCTGAATGAAGGTGATTCCTGGTCTGGCTGGACTGCTGCCTGGTTGGGTAGGGAGACACCATGGTGTCCCTCACACAGCCCCAGGGCTGCAGCCAGCTGGGGAGCCCTTTCCATCCTGGCCCTGGAGGGTGTGTCCAGGTTCTGGAGGGCTCTTATAGCAATTCTTCCACTTCTACCTTTTTCCGGCATGGAGCAATATGTATTTCTTCTCATCTTTAGGATATCTTCAATTTTCATGACTCTAACACTCAACATCATAGTTTTTTGAGGAAGGAGAATTACAGTAGCATTTCATCTTGGTTGGAGCTCAGTTCTCAAACCTTCCCCTGCCTCAGGTGACCATGGTACCCCTCAAGCAAAGAACAGTGATCTATTGTAGCTCCCAATTAGCTAAAGATGCAGCTGTGCCCTCCCTCCAGCCTGCATCTTAGTTTTTTGGGTGTAGTGAAGCTATGCCCATGATAGACCTAGTGCAGGGGTTAGCTACCAAGGATTGGAGCCACAGCTCTGTCCTCAGCAAACCTCTTGATTTTCCCTTGATCCTGTGCATGTATTGCACCTTGCCAAGGGCCAGTAGAGAACAAATGGCAGTAGGGCCTGAGCTGGAGGGAGCAGGGCATTTTCCTTTGTGAAAACCCTTAGAAGAGCAGGGAAAACTGGTTTCTCAGACACCACGGGCCTTGGGTGATGTTTACATTGTGTGATTTATGGGTGCTCTGCAGTGTGTGTGTGTGGTTTGTGCTTGCATCTGGGGACTTTGCTGAGCTTTTGCTTTCCTGCTGTGTGGCAGGAGAGGCTTGGTGAGGTGCTTTCCTGGTCTTGAAGGGAGGTGGGCTTTGCCCAGGTAGAAATAAGAGACAGTAGCCAAGGGACTTGTGTGCACAGCCAAGGGCCAAGAGAGAGGTGATCTGCAGTCATGAAGATATAGGGAGAGTCAGGTTGTCTTGCTGTTCTTTGCTTTATTAGGTTCCATGCACTTATGTACGGTACCTCTTAATAATTAGTTAAGTTGGGTTTGAACAGGGTAAGAAGGGAGTAATGTTTATCAAAGGAGAAGATAATATAAACTTTCAAAAAGCAAGAATTAACTTTTAAAATCTGAAGGGATGAGAAGATGTGTATATGCTGCCATCCAGTTCCCCCCCACAGGTCTGCAGGGAAGAGCTGGAGCATCAAAGTCAAAGGTTTTATTCCTAAATCTCTTGCTAGGGCTAAGGGAAGAGAAGAAACGTGTCTAACGGCACTTGACAGGGGGCAGTGGAGAGTTTGTTTTGCTTTGTTTTGTTCTGAAACTCGGAATAAGCTCTGCCCCCTTGACTGCTCACGGAGCACAATCCTGGTTGTTTTGAATCCCTGACCCATGACTGTCTGCAAAGAAGGACATGTATTTTTTGAGCTGCCTGTTCTGGTTTGTCAAGCCTGTGCTTGGAAAGCTATGTGAAAAAGAAAGGGATTCCCAGGGAGAAATGCTTTCAGTGGCTGTGGAAAGCCAGACGTGGGTGACACTGTCCTGTCTTGCTTTTGGTGACATGCCAAGACCATGCTGTGAAATGGTCTTTTGAGTTTTTTCCTCCTTTTTTTATAGGCTGTAGAATGCTTTCCTGCTGTGTTCGGGTTACAGCCAGGATAGGTCTATCTAGCTAGCTGTCTAGGATGACTGCTCTGGAGCGGAGGTATGCTCACACTTGTTATTTGCCAGTGGCCACTAGACTTTTCCAAAATATGCTTTATCGAGTGTGAGGTTTTTGCTGTTCTATGGTGTCAATAGTAGTCTCTGGAGAAGTGTGAGTGATTACAAGCAGTCTGGTGCCATTGTTGATCTCGCATGCCAACGGGAAATGCAACAAGCTTCTTTTCCTCATGGAGAAATAAACCCACTGCCAAACAAAAATGCAACTTGTCACTTTCCTGTATCCTGGAGAAGGGCCACTGCCATGTCGTGCAGTATGAACCTCCCTCCCCATGCACTAGCTTTGAAGTGAGGATGACCTGAGAGCTGGAGGCCACTGTTTCTTGACCAGGCTCTCCAGGAGCCAGGGGGCCTTGGGCTGAGATACCTCAAGCAGCGCACAGGTGGGCCCAGGAGCTGCTGAAGAGAAATCCCACCAGTGGTGAGGAACAGCGGTGTAAATCAGAAACCCTGGATTAGCCTCTTCAGGATGGTGGAAGGCAGTCTGGCAATGGGAACTGGCCCAGGGCTGGGGCTTAATCTCATAATTTTGGGGTAAAACTGTCCAGGCACTGTTATTTTTCTGTGTTATGCTTTTGGATGAGTATGAATTCCCCAGGCGGGCTGGGGGACTGTGGCTCCCATTGGCACCAGTGTGATATGTACATCAGTCATGTAACAGGGAGATGGCGGTGGAGTCCTCCCTCCCATGCCCCATGCAGCCCTGTCCCATGGGTGTCTGTCCTGTCACCAACATCGGGCTCTCCCATTCCTGGCTGCTTTTGTAGGGCTCAATTTTACACCCAATGCTCAGCTAAAGTGTAAGCTAAAATGAGCCTGGAGGCAGCCTCCAGCTGTCCTGTTCCATAAACCTCCTTGTCCAGGAGCCCAAGCATGGGAGTGTGTGTCTCTGTGTGGGTGAGCGGTGCGGTCAGGCACAGGTAGTTTTTTTCAGAGACTGTGGGTGAGTGATATTTGAATGTTTTAAGAACATTTGATTTTACAGTGACAAATTGTAAAAGGAATTAATCCCTCTCCCCCCCCTTTTTTTTTTTTTTTTGTGAGTTACCTGTCCTAGAGAGCAGTTAAAAGATGCAGCTTTTTAAAGTTATTTGGTGCCTAAAACTTTACATAATGTAATTTTCAATATGACTCCTGACCTCCGCATCTTTTGCAATTCAAGACAGGGGTGGCATTTCCCTTGCATTTGGGGGTGGTCAAGCTCAGTCCCACTTTCCTGCATCCCTGATCTCCAGGCAGTTGGAGTTGGGCTTTATCAGGGCAGGGGAGTGCTGACCTGTGTGGTTACTTTTGCAGGGTCTCTCCAAGCAGCTGTCACAGCCTGCAGTTTGGGGGGGCAGATGCAAAGCCTTTGCAGTTCAGTCCTTGGGCCCCTGCAAGACTTCATGTGAAGGGGAGAAGGGCAAAAGGGGGCTGGTCCCTTTCAGAAAAGAGTTACTGATCTCAGATGTGCATCTCCGCATGGCTGCATCTGAGTTGGGGCATCGGGGAGAATTATGCTTTGGTATTTTTTTGTGTCTAAATCACAACCACTGGTGTCCATGTTGTGACCGACACTGGTAAGTAAATACGTTGCTGCTGGTGTTTCGAGTTTGTGGGCATAGAGATCTTGGCTATAAGTAGACGTAGTTTGTCATCTTGGTAAAACTTTCTGAAGTCTTTCCTCTCTGTAAGGAAGGGAAGTGTGTTTTACTGACTCTGGGCAGAGGTGTCAGCAGCACCTTCTGGATGTTCTGGCCAAAGTCCGTTGAATGGGCTGACTACCGCACATCAAATGGCGTCAAAGCAATTCCCACCATCCGTTTCTATCAATAGAAGCAATTCCCCCAGACGTTTAAACACGGTTGTTGCAAACCAGGGCTCGTTTTGGTTGTGTGCCTCACGTGGGCAAGCAGCAGGAAGGATGCAGACTGGAGACATTTTTCCCCACGGTGCAGGCACCATCCCTTCCTACGTGGTGATAAATGAGGTTGCACCTGCGTGGCACTTCACAGAGGAGCTGGGCCTTTGTTCTTCCTCCTCCTCTTGTCCCCAAGGCCCATGTACTTACCATGATGGAGCACCTGCAGTGGGCAAGGGTTACACTGCCTCTTTTGTTAAATTGCCCTGGCTTGCATGTCATACTCAATTTCATCCTCTTTTTTCTCCACACCTATCACATTTTTCCCCACACCCCTATGCTTTTGAGGTCAAACACAGTCACTCAGCAAGGCTTCTTCTCCCTCTAGGAGAACGCTGCCATGCAGTTGTACTGAGAAGCGGCATCAGTATGACTGTACTTATGCTGAATTTAAAGCACCTCCCTCAGCTTTCATCAGCATAAGCCTCCTAATAAACAGGGGAAATATCATACAGTCTCCTTGCAGAGTTATACCGATGATGTAACTAGTAAACGTAAGTAAATGTGCTACTTTAATGTAAAGTAAACGTGCTACTTTAAAGTTAGGATATGTGATTTCAGTTAAATTTTCCAGAGTACATTAGGACACTTCTAATTACGTTCCATTCATATTAATTTGAATTTATATTAAGTCCATCAAGATCAAGTTCGAGCTAGTTGAACACAGTGTTACTTTTCACATCGCTTTGGATGGATTAGAAGCAATAGAGCTAAATCATCACAGACCCTTGTGAGAGCAGTTTCACTGATAGAAAGATGCTCAGGTTTTTTAACTACATTTATCAAAACAACCTGCAGACACAGGCACAATTTTATCAACGTGACTATGTCTGCCTATCACCCAAATAGTCTTTAAACTAGAATAATCAAGCTTGCAAAGTGGGCTGCTCTGATTTAATTTAGTCTAACTGGTTTTGATTTAGATGGGCAGCACTGCTTGCTTATGTGTAGTCAAAACCTAAGAGAGCTCCCTGCAGTGGGTAGGTACTGTAAACCTGCTCCTATACAAGTTCTACCAGAAGTCCTTCTCCCTGCAAAAATCCTGTGGTTGTGTCCGTGATAGCTCTCACTTCTGGTTCCCAGGGCCTCGTGCCCCTTGTTGGTGTGCTGGCCAGGAGGTATTGATACCAGGAGGCATCAGAGGGGCACTGGGCATCCAGTTTCACTCAGATGCCCCTACAACAGGGGAGATAGCTGGGAAAACAGGGGCAAGGGGAGACTCTGCCATGCTGAGTCTACTCCCAAATCCCACCATGGACACCAGTGGTACATGGCCTTCTGGACCCTGTGGGGCCCTCTGGCAACACCAGTGTCCCTGCATCACCTGGACCCCAGACATGCTTGCAGTCTGGGGACTCTGGCCTTCAGAGCATCTCTGGAGGAAGCTAAAAGCCCACAGGCAGGTGCTGTACCCTTGTCAGTGCTTAGAGACTAACCAGCAGTCAGCTTGAGAACTTTCTGGCAGCTCCTGGGAGGCAGGCACTGGTAATTAAACCTCACACTTCGGAAGGGCAACTCAGGTCTGTCTTTGCCCAGCAGGAAACAGACTTTGTGCTGCAGTGAGGCGCTGTATCTATCAGGCTGATGAGATGAACAGGCTGAGCTAGCCACAGGTATAGGCCATCCTCAAGCACCACCTTTGCTGCTGACATTGTGATAGTGCAGAGGCCTGAGCTTTCACTGTGCTTTAGCTGTTGAGAAAATTAATGGGCATGATACCCTGTGTGAAGCAGTGTTTCTCTCCTCGCAGAAACTTCCATATATACAGCTTTTTTTTTATTTCAAACAAATGGAAAAATTGGTCACACACCTAAAAGCACTCTATCCAAACAAACTGGAAGTGAAGGCTCTTTATTGAAAAAAAGTAGGGAAAAATGCCATTGTGACCTCTTTGAATGCATGGATTTTATTTTAATGGCCTTTTCTTTCTCTTCTACCTAATATTCCCTCTCCTCCTGTAACACATTTCAGGACTTGTCAGATTGATCTTCTTCATTTTGTGCTGGAGGACTCTTGGTCCTTCAGGTTTCACTTGCTGACCAAAAGCTCAGTGCTGATAAATCTTTAGCAGAGGAAGCTTTTCTCCCAGGCATTTCTCAACCACATGAGTTAAGGTGAAATGCACAGGACAAACAATAGAAAAAACATCGAGCTTAACAGAACTTGACTGTTTCACAGTGGATAAAGTCTTACTGCCAGTATCTCCAGTGACATTATCTCACTAGTTCTCCCTGTCTCCAGAGTATTCCAGGGGAAAAAAAAAAATGAATAGGTGAGGCCTGAACAAAAGTGCTTCAACCCAGCCTATTTTTCTTTTGCAGGTCACCTTTAAGCTCCTCCAGGGTGAGTATTCATTTTCTTTCTTCATACTTATTTCTAGTTTTGTTCTTACTATATTTCTTTTACATCTTTTGTTCCTCCACATGTTCTGCTTTGTTTGCACTGCTGGCAGTGGAAGTGATTTAAAAACGTCCAGTCTTTGATACAAGTGATCTCCAGAAGAAATTGTTCCCAAGGGCTCCTAGCAGCTGCAGGGGCAAGTGGCATAGATGTCGATTTAAGACCAGTGGGTGAAGGCAACTGTAAATAAAAGTGCTAGCTGTGGAAAGTATTGGACAGGTTTCTGGAAGAAGGATATTTCAGAGAAGATGGTTGTCCCAGGAGCATGCCTGGCAGCCAGCGGAAAAATATAAATGTGTGTGGCAAGACCTTGCCCTATGCCATAGGACTGGCTCATCCCACCTTGACTGGGAACAATTGCACAAGTTGCCCAAGGTCAGGAGGAGCCCAGTTGGCTCCCAACCACTGGCTGGCAGGATTGCTGAGGTTGTGGAGGAGAAGGCCATGCCTCAGGCTGGGCTCAGAAAAGCAGGGCCTGCCAGGTCTGCTGTGGTGGCCAGCTTTGCTTTCCTTTGGAGGTGGTGGACTTGGTGGGCTCAGTCAGAGCCAGGCAGCCTCACAGCTAGTAGCAGCTCTTTTCAGTGAGCACAGCCCTATTCCTCTTTGCAAATTATCCTTGAGTGATTATACTTCTGCTTATTTTACGATGATTGTGCTAATGATTTTTGCAAATGAATTTTAAACCAAGAGATGGCGAGCCTGATTATTTGGCTGCTTTTACTGCTGTCATCACATCCAATAGCTGTTACTCAGAAAACAGTCTTTGCACTTGTGTTTACTCACCCAGATTATATGGTGGCGTTGGGCTCTTTTGCTGGATACTGCCCAAACCACCAAAAGCTTTGGAGGTGGCAGCCCAAACGCTTCAAACATGAATACTCAAGCCAGCAAGTATTTGTCTGAGTATCTGCCAAGCTCCCATTTTTTTGGGAACAAGCTGGTGAATCAAAATTTAGTCTCATGAATGTTTATGGACAACAACCAAGAGAACAGATCCAAATCCCACCCTTCCAAACAAATTCCACTTCTCTCCTAAGGCATGTTTCCAAATTCATTTGGGTTTACCGGTCCGTGTCCAGTTCGAGCCAAATATGAAATATGCATGTACTCCCTTCTTTTCTTGGTCCCACTTTCCTTTCTTCTGGGAAATGAAGGGATTGCTCTGACTGATGCTGAGAGACATTCTTGCTCCTATTGCCTTTGATACTGCCTGCTTCTGCCTCTTAACTCACACAACTGCTACACAGAAAACACTTGTTGCTTTCAAATACAGTTTTTATCCCTTTAGTGGAAATGACTGCTTCCTGGCCTGTTTTTTCTCTAGACCACCAGTGCATGAAGTGGGGAGATGGTTTGCTGTGCTTCCAGTGACAGGATTGAATGTCTTCACCTATGGCAACTGGTGTTTCCAGCAGACCTCCTACTGTTCTCATGTGTTTCTCAGCCAGGACTTCGTGGGGAGCTGTGAAAATGCATATAACAGGCCCGTTTTCTCAGACCTGAGATCTGCACCTGCCCTGCAAGCAAACTGCTGCCATCTTTCTCTGTCTTTTTATTTTAGGAGGTGTCACATCAGCAGTGGGCCTTGAGGAGAGATTGAAGACCAAGAGGGAACAGTGATGGACAGGCTAATGCCAGGCATGGTATGCACAGGAAAGTTATGATATCTTGGTAGCTGAATTTTCATTCCTTTTGACAAAACGAGTCCAGGGGCTTTGCTGCTAGCCCCCTACTGAAACTACCATCTGCAGGTACCTGCTTTAATTTGGTTTGTTTGGCTGAAACAAATCTGACCTGGTAACACAGCATTACATTCAAAAAACCCTTTGCCAGCTTGGGCCCCGTGGCAGCTGCAAAGCAAGCGTGGTAGATGAGGGGGAGCTGAGCCTCCTACAGGGTCCAGCACATCCCCAGCACATCCAGGGCTGTGCCCGTGCATTCCCCAGGGGATGGGGGAAGCACACCTCTGCCAGTCCAGCTTTCACTGAGAGCTGGGAAGAAGCTCTCCAAAACACTGTAAGCCTTGGGCAGGGACTTAGTCTCCCTGCTGTGGGACTCAACTGTCATCACTTCCAGGAGAGGTCCATGGCATGATGGACAATCATGATTACGCTGTTCGGCACTGCACACTCCCCATCCTTGCAGATCTGGCCAGTGCAGGCTATACACTCACGTGCAAAAATGCAGAATGGGTTTTCTAGGGAGCAAGGGCAGCACATTTTCACTGACTGTTTTTTATCCTAGACAAGAGTCTAAAGGAAAGATTTATGAGACAGTTGTAGTTTACCTCTCTTTTATTAGCTAATAAATAAGAAGTACTCAAGTTCACAGAGTGGTGAGGGGAACACAGGCTCCATGGCAGAGGAGAGGAATCGAGGTGCTCTGTCAGACCCCTGACTCGCTCTCAGAAGAGATTTCCACTCACAGCATTTACTTCAGCTTAGAGAGGATGTCTTTTTGTCAGGATGCCTCCAGCCTGCATGCAATCCTCCCACTCAGGTCTCAAACCCTCCTGGGTTTACCCAGCAAAAATAATTTTATTTTGTCATTTTCCCTCTTGCCAGCTCTCCTGGCACCACTATCTTTCTCCTTTAATGGCCGAAATAACCTGTTGGGGGTCTTACAGCCTCCTCCATGCTCTTCTAGTGTCTGCCTAGCCTGAAACCTGATTTTTAAATATAGCCCATTAGCAGGATATTAGCACATAGATGGAACCACTAGCAGCAACCTCCACAAAGATGTACGAAAAGCCTGTTTTCCCACCCATCCATATGGGTTAAGGGCTATGGTAGGTGAGCTGTGTTAGGTTTAGCTGTGATGGGTTGTGAGTGCAAATGTGTGCGCTAAGGAGACACAGGGGACTTCTAAAGAAGATGACTTCTATTAACAAGGAATAAAATGTGTGGGATTGCTGGAGTACCCTCAGCCCCCCCTGATCATCCAGGGAGTTGGTGTGAGGTCATGGCTAGGAAGAAGCAAACCCTCATATATGGGCTGAAGGGTATGGGGGTAATCCAGGTCACTGGCCATGTAGTCTCCACAGCACTGAAAGCTGCTAAGTGTACTTTTGCCACTAATTTAAGCATACCTAGCTCTGCTTTCACACAAAGAGAGGAGCTGGTAAGTGAGTAGGTGTCATTTTTACCTACAATCTCTGGGCAAAATTATGCTTTGATTCACTTGGGCTCCTTCCCCTGCACCTCTGAAAATGCTGCCGCTAATAAGGCAATGCTCACAGAGCCAGCAGCTCCTACACTCTGCCTTTGCAAGAGACTTCTCCATGTTCCCAGTGGATGCAAATTGTCTTGGGCCTCAAAAAGGAAAAGAAAAGGGAAATAAAGGTTCACTCAACCCCTTTTAGAGCCAATAACAGGATTTACACACTAAACAACTGGTCATTAGCATGTGGCTCCTTTCCTTGGCTGGTGGCTGGTAGCTGACACTTCAAATAAGAAGGATTCCTCTTCCTCTGCCTTTCCCTTCCACACCAAAAGCCTGACCCACAGCCAGCAGTACACTTGACCGGTGACACCGTGGTGTCCTTTGGGACAGTTCCTCCTGAGCTCTGTGTGCCCTCTTCCCCCTTCACAGGGCTGCATTGTTACAAGGCAGGCCCTGTGCAGGGGCTGTGCTGAGCAGGGCTGTGTGAAAGCAGGAGAGGCTTATGGTCAGAGACTCAACCTCCCTGCCACACATAGTGTGTGAGACCTCTGCATCCTTTGCATGCCTGCAGCCAACGCTGCCTGTGAAGAAGATGGAGACCACTGTCTGACTGCAAACATGGAGGGCAAGGAGTGTGCACAGTGTCTTTAGCGTGGCCTCTTAGGTATTGCTGCAGCCATCCTTGCAGAAACTGCTGTAGCAACATGGGTGCAACCAACCCCATGCAACCCCCGCACCTGTTGCCTCCCTCATTTTCTGGCACCATGCCCTTTGCTCCTGCCCTCCCTCCTGCTCATGACCTTGGAGCCTCTTCTCTCCCAGAGACGTGTGTTTTTCCAGTGTTTCTGTGTACCCCCCCCGCCCCACACCCGTGACATGCAGGGTGTTGATTTGACTGGACGTGAGCTCAAAGCTCATTAAGGGCTCATCGATACAGGCAATGAGGAGCTGTGTAGGGTGAGGCAGGGGGAGAGGGGCCCCACGGCAGGAGGGCTCATAGTTCCCCTCTGTGTTCAGGAGCAGGTTAGTATGTGCCTCTCTGGGCTGGTGTCTCTGTGAGCAACTCTGTGCACCCCAAGGACCCCCAACTGGCCAGCACCGTGAGGTAGGTGCGTCCACAGGG